TAGGAGAGTCCTGTCTAAAGTATCGAGTTCAAATCGGAGTAGCCTTATCCTCTCTGAGATTAAAGATAGGCTGGCCTTAAGCAGAATCTGTTTAGAATTCGGAGAAGATACAGCAGCAGAAGTGAGTGTGAAAGCGATGGGTATTACCTTGTGATCGCGGCATCGTTTGAAGAAGGTCAGCGTCTCGATGAGCTGTGACTTCTTGTCCCGTTGTCTGTTAAAAGCTCTAACAGATAGGTGAAAGCCCTCCCCATAGAGGTAAAATCTAGAAAGGATAAAGCTGTGTCGTGGTCACTGTGAGTGCGAGGAGGGAGACGGAGTGTTTGGTGTTCGCATACCGGTACGAGTGTGTACAGTACTGTTTTGCGCTCGTGCGAATACGCGGCTGTTTGCGGCGGGTACGAGAGTGAAGAGTGCTTGGTGGTCGCGCGCACGCACGGTTGTTTACACCGGGGCGGAGCGCTTAGCGTGCGCGTGCCTACGCGGCTGTTGACGGGTGTGCTGTTCGTCGGGCGCGTGCCCAAGCGACTGTTTTCGGTGGTGTAGAGCGCTCGTGTGCCTGTGCGACGGTGTTGTGGGCGCGCGACTGTTCGAACGGGCTCTTTAACTCAGAGCCGGGCGACCCTCCTCAATCGGCGGCGCGCGCACGGCAAACGCCCCGCCCGCCCATCCCTCGACCCCAACCCCCTCGCGTGCGATTGGTGTACGGGGCTGGGCAGGGGGTAGAGGCGTGTTTGTTATTACCGGGGCACGTGGAGCGGGGGTGGGAGGGAGACACGCGCCGCGCAAGTCTGTTCACGGGCGGGAGAGAGTTTTTACGGGCGAACGCGCTCCTCGCGGTACACCGCCTCGCAGCGCACCGCGAGCGTAAAGCGACGCGCCCTACCCATCGGTTAAAACATGCAGACGGGGTCAGCAGCACAGGAAGGCGGGGTAGTGGAGGTCGCTAGCCCGAACCCCACAGAGCAGTCGGGGGGTAGTGGGATAAATGTGGCGGGGGAGTCGGGAGCCAACGGCCCCGACAATTCGGTGATGGCGGGGGACATTCGCCCCCACACATGCGTGCAAAGGAAACTTATTTTTATCTTAACAGTAATAAAGGTTCCGTGCCGACCTAAACGGTTATTGCGAGGCAAGCGAGTTTGTTCAGGCGAGTGGTGACGTACATTTGCAAGAGGAGTTAGAGCGTGGCGACTCATTCGTGCCCTAATTTCAGTTGCAGAATCTTTGTGTGTAAATGTTATGTTTTTAATTTCCCGTTTTACACTTAGTTAACTTGCATTCTCTTGTTTACTGCGGCTGTAGGGTGAAATCACTTGTTAATATCCTATTTTCCTTACTACTATTTACCTTAACCCAACAGTAAACTTTTTTGTAGCTATGATTTTATGCATGGGGGCGCGGGGGGCTGGAGTATTTCTAATCAGGGTCCTTTGGCAGCACAAACTCAAGTATGTACAGTCAGTCGTTTTCATACGTGAAGCTCTGTGACAGGAATACAGTGTCCACGATGCCTGAATACACAATTTACGGTGCTCAAACAAAAAAAGTGCATCGTTGCTGTGCACAGGTGTTCCGTTTTACATGGCACGCTCGCCTGTCCACAGTCCACGCTTTGTCCAGATGATGTGGCCTACGTATCATGAGGCGACAATGGATCGTGTGCCAACACACCTGCCCTCCACCCACCAGTGTCAATCAGCATTTGGTGCCAAGGATATGGTCTCTCTGCTATGGAGAGCAGTGTCCATAACCAGTGTTGATTGCTCAGATTTGTGTCTCGGCTTCAGTGCTTAAGGACCTTTGCATGCCTCCGATGTCCAGCATACTTCGTGACACGTGCTTGCCAGTCAGCAGGTGTCGGTGGTTGTCGAATAGTATCTGACTAAGTAAACAAAAAAAATTATGCTGCAACATTGTGGGAAAACCCACAACTGCTCTACACATCAACTGGAGTCCCCGCAGTAGTGCGAATCCGTTTTTTGCCCAGAAATGTTGGAAATGTGGCCACCGTTATAATTCGTGGCAGAATAGCAGCATGAACAACTGCTTGCCACTTTCACCCTTGTTAAGGCTCATCGACAGACGCACAGCATAACGGACACGTTGCTTGACTGCCATGAAGCGGGTCAAGTGATACGAGCCGAGAGCCATCTTCACCAACTGGAGTCTCGATTGAGGAGGAAGTAGCACGACAAAGGCTTGAAATACAAGCAGGGCTTCATTTCTAGCTGGTACACCGAATTGGTATGCGACTTTCCAACCATAGAGATCTATCGGATGTGATGTGGTGGTTGGACAAATATTTAACGGGTCGCTGACCAGAGGACATCTGGCTGAAATTAAGGCCTGTTTAAATGCCACTGGAATCGACGGTCATTGCCTGCAAAAGACGTGGGTTTTGTATTAAGAGGTCAGCCATCCATTGAGTGAATGCATCTGATGGCCACAGCACAGTTCGCAGACTGATCCTCTGGTGAGAGTTGGTCATCGATGTCTGGAGCCCCATTTTACAACAGTTGGTCTGATATGTGCATGCTTGGGACTTAACTTTCTTTCATTCCGACCATCAAACACCACCGCCACCAATAGAGTTTGTGATAAAAGGCAAGCGTTTATTAGGTCCTCGAAGATTCCTCTCGCGCTCGCCTAGCAACTTCAAAGTGCACCGGCGGATCCCTTTGCAGCATCGTGTTTGCCGCAGCGCGCTAGTTCGTCCTCTGCCTGCAGTTACCGCGAATCATCCGTGATGTGCCACGCAAATAAACGCTCTTGAAATAGTTATGCAAAGTGTTTATTCCTTTGAACAGAGTAACGAAAAGTAGGTTGGTTTGTTTTTCTTTCTGCTTCGTTGTACCTTGATTGAGTAATGTGTGTAAAGTGTCTAATGGGGTGGAGGATAATTCATCGTGCATACACAACTTCATTCGCTCGCTTGTCTGCTTCCACACATTTGCTTGGCCTGAGAAAAAGCAATTTCGCTGTGATATACGTATAAACAGTATATATTTTTTTGCACATGCTATCGCGATGTTGTGTTGTAATATACCGCTCACTTTACAAGGTCACACATTTCTGGTGGCAGTCATTCGGGCTTGTGTGTTCCATGTTATAAACTAACCAAGGATAAGAGTGGCCACTCATGTGTGAAACTGTCGTCAGCGCTGCCGTACTTAAACCAGATGCTGCAGATGCCGTTCGCGAAAATAAAAAAATATATATAATACTAGTTTGAAACTTCATTCGATTGCAGGCCCCAAATCTGCAGTCCATCGTTGTACTGTGCATATATTGTACCCTGGTGTGCTTTTAATTGAGCACATGAACGTACGGGGCATTATAAGACGCTTTCCGATTTTGTACAGATCGTCATTACATTTACAGAATAAACTTACATAAAAAAACTCGCGTATTATTGTATACCTACTATGGCCGTCTGCTCATGTGGCATTTATAAGGTCTACCTTGCAGTAATGTAATTAAATATCTACCATGTATATTAATGCCACCTGTGACAATCACCCGGAATGTACCCGATCTCAGAAGCCAAGCAGACTTGAGCTGGATAGTGATAAATAGGTGGTCATACCAGCTTGTTAAAGGCTTTGGGGCTACATGCAGCAATAGCCACTGTTCTACTGCACTTTTATGATCGCCACGTTTGGTCCCTGCCTTCAAACCACACTGATTGGAATGGTGAAGTATGGTCAGATAATCATACCGGTGTGCAGAAGCCCTCGTAATAATCGATTATTGAATGCAACCGGTGAGGGTGCCGATGATTGCCTAGAGCAGTGTTCTACATTGCATCAGGGGCCACTGGTGGCCCCTGATGGCCCCTGATGGCCTTTAGTGTGGCCCCTAACGGGCAGCCCCCGACAATACAAATTTGAAAAATGTTCATCGTGCTGGAAAATCACAATAATTTTAAATACGTGGCGACCATCACACTGATGTGTTATTGGCGAAAGTAGCCCCCCCCCCCCACCTCTGGAAATTAGAGAAAAACACTGGCCTAGAGCATGAAGATTGGGTCTGGGACGTGACCTCCTTCCTCCACCAGCTCGTGTTCCACGGCCGCCTCGATCTGCTCGCACACCCACTCAGTCCACGGATCATCCACGGGCGCTCCCTGCGGGAAGGTCATTCCACTTTGTAATTGCAGTAATAATATTTAAATTACCGATGATCGAGATCAATTAAGGAGTTACAGCCAAAGAAGAGGAACATGCCAAAAGAGAACTTCAATCGCGCAGATGGAGCGATTACATCGGCTCGTGCGCACGTGGCTCTATGCGTTGTTACATTGAACATCGCTCACGGTCCTGCAACGGCTTGGGGAGGCCCTAATCAAGTCGTAAATTGATCATGGCTACTGATGCTCCTGCGTGGATAGCATTCATCCAAAATGGTAGATAGGTTGATGGACTCAAGTGTGTGTTTTTTTATTAGTATGGTCGAGAGACACAAGATGGAATTTTGTCAGTAAGGTTCGCCTCCAATGGGCCGTGGCTCTAGACCATATTTGTGTCACATGGACCATGAGAAAAGCCACCCAAGCGGGAGGTAAAACACGCTACTCACAAAGCTCCGTGTACATGATTCAAATCCTTTTTCTGCACACTGCCCTCTGCTGGTAGCTCACCTGAAGTGACACAACTTGGACTTTAAAAACGTAAAAATACACCACATTTAATGGCCACGTGACGAATAATGCTAACTACGCAGGAAAGTCAAATTCAGTCTCGAGATTACTTGTCAGGAGGGTTCTGGTGCGTTGGGACGTTTTGCAAATCGCATGAAGTTTGGCTTCACGTGAAAGGAATACTGGGAGAAAACAACGCGTAACACGAGGATAACGTGTGGGTTTTTTCTGTATCTGCACAGGCATCTCCTTGCATCCTCGAGAGTCGAGCCGATTTAGGACTGGAAAAATCGGCGTGATCCACCAACCCCTTTCCCTAAAAAAAAATCAAACCGTATGATCGCGCGTGTGTGTGTGCCATGATGATAATCGGCGGCGATTCCGCGTCCGCTCCACGTTGCAGAGGATTTACGTTTCGATTCCTGCGGACGTCCCGATAATTATACACCTCTGGAGTATCAACTACAATAGATTAGAATGCATTTTTAAACACGCAGTCTGCTTCGCATCCAAGATCCCCGTGGCGTCATTCGCAAGCATGAAGCCATTGTGCGTGCCGACGTTTTTCTCCAAATTTGTGACGTAAAAAAAGTACCCGCGATTGGAATCATGGCAATCATCACCCCCACAGACTGCAAAAACGTGGTAGGACTGGCCTGAAGAAAATTGATTATTGGGTAAACAAGCATTATGGAAAAACATAATTTCGAGGATGAGTATGATGAACTGTTAGGGATGACCTATTGATGGCGAGGTTCAATCGTCAATGCAGCTGATGAAGAATACGAGTCCAATCCCATCAGATCAGGGAGCTAAGCAGGGTTCAATCTGGATAGGGCTTGTATGGGCGACCACTACTACGCACAAACAGGTGCTATAGGCTGCTGCGGGGCTACGTAAACAATCGTTCTGTACTTCAATGCATCCACGTATATGCTGCCCACCTTTGACTGGTAGGAACGAAGTTGTAAACTGAGTGTACCAGCCTGCAATAGATTAATGCGTCCGTCCGTCCGTTCCCTTTCATAAGAAGTGAAATCTCGTGCTGTTGGTTGTCACAATACTTCAACGAAGTCAAATCTCGTGCTGTTGGGTGTCAAATCAGCAAAAGACAGCGCAGAGACTTGATATGTCTTATTGCACCCAACATTTGGAAGTCACATTATCTCATTTGCGAACTTCGCTTTTGGGGCTGTGGCAAATTCACTGACGCCTTTCTCAGTCCCGAATTCCACAGTGCAAGCCCTTCCCACATTCATCCTGCCAGCAGCTTGCGGAACACCCGTCATCCGCGCTTACAGGGCGAAATATTCCTACAATCGTCCGTGAGAGCTTGAAGAGACCCGAGCTGTCATCTATTAAATGTGACGGGTTCATTATTTTGTATTGTGTGCACAAATGCAGATATTATTATCAAACAAAATAATATCAAACCCAAATGTTAAGGGGTATTAATTTCAAGGGCAAATTTGAGCCTCTTCATGCCATTGTATCTTAAAATTTATTTCAATTAAAATGTATTTCAATTTAAAAAAATTACGTCTATAGCAAACGCAATTCAATTGATGTCAAAAGTAAGCGCAATTCAATTCAGTGCATTTTAGTGAATAAAATAGGATAGAATGGACGACTCCTTTGTTCATTTCATTCCAAAAGGCATACGAAGTACATACTACCAGAAATAGCTCACGATTTGGCTATTCTATTCTTATTGACTCAAATTTTGTTTATTTTCCTGGTGACAAATAAATCTACATGGAACCGAGCCAAATATTCTTCGAGTAAATAGACAGCTTTGGTACATTTTCAGTTAATAACATTGAATAAAATGGACGCCCCCTTGAACATTTAGTGAATAAAATTGGATAAAATGGACGACCACTTTGTGCATTTTATTGCAAAAGGCAGAGGAAATATCCCGTGTTGTATATTTTACAAATGGATTTTTTCTGTATACTTAGTTCCTTTCACAACAATGTGCTCACATTTTCTTAGTTTTTTCGGTAAAGTCACGTTGAAGAGAAACAACAAAATAATAAAATATATATAAAACAATAAAAAAATTCTCACGACGTTTCGACCATAACTCAAACGGTCGTCTTCAGGTGTGTTGGTTCGCCGTTTAAAAATAAATTTACGCGAACCAACACACCTGAAGACGACCGTTTGAGTTATGGTCGAAACGTTGTGAGAATTTTTTTATTGTTTTATATATATTTTATTATTTTGTTGTTTCTCTTCAACGTGACTTTACCGAAAAAACTAAGAATATGAATTACTGCAGTCACGAAAGCTTTAAATCAAAATTTAATGTGCTCACACTTGTGGATTCGGCACTGAGTTTTTTTCGGTACAAGACATGAACACCATGAGCAACAACGACTTCGAAGACACCGACGGATTTTTGGATGCCACCATTGAAAAGCTGCTTGCTGAAACAGAGGCCGCATTTGTTGCTGGAACCCTTTACAAAATCGGAGACAAAATCGCAGATGCCATCGACCCAAAGCCAATCCCAGCAGGCGCCGCAACTGCGCCAACGCCATCCAACATGCAACCACCACCTCAATCGTAGTTTAGTGATCCAAGATAGTATTTCATAGTGGAATAATGAACTATCGAAGACTCTCGAAGCCTTGTCTCTCAGTTTTGTCATGACATATTCAACACAAATTTACAGGTATAAGGCCATAAGCCGGTCATGTTTCGATTTCGAGCAGAAATGCTAATAATCCGGAGTCTAAAGCCCCATACTACCGTATACCGGGAAACAAATCCTCATTTTTTAAAAATGCAATTGTTGTCATTTTTCGGCCCAGCCCTTAACAATTTTATGATACATTGCTCCAAATTGAGCAGATTTCAGTCAATAAGGATTTCACCATTCCATTCCTCTAATGAGGTTAATTTGTCCGAAGAACCCTCAACGATTGAGGGCAAAAAAGTGGGAAGACGCTCTCAATTTGCACAATTTTACGTAACAATGTCATAAAATTGCGCAAAATTCCAATGTTCCTACCAGCCCACCCTGCAAGGACCTGTTACCCCGCACTGACCAGTGCGGTGAAGTATGGTCAAACAACCCCCACGCCCCGCGCGGCGCCGAGAGGCGCTCATCCAGTCGTGTGTGGCGTGTCTATCAAAAGATTCGATTCATTTTCTCACCGCTCCTGCCGACTTCTTGCTCCGCCTCCTCGCCAAGCCTCGGGGTCTCTGCGGAGGAGAGCTCCAATAAACTGCTGCTCTCCCCCGGTTCCTCGCAGCCTGCCGGCCCGACCGACTCGGCGGCGCGAGCTCTTGGGTCACGGGCCCGCGGGCACGGCCTTTGAAATCCCCACGAGAGGCCCCTCTCCCGTGCCCGAGATCCGCCTTCGTCTCCTCCATCCCCGTTGGTCGTGTTGCGCTGCTGCGCGACGCGATGGTGGAGAAGGATCGAGCTGGCGCGTCGGCGGGTGGCGAGTTGCGCGTTTCGACGGAAGAGACGCTGAAGTCGTCTTTGAAAAAAATGTCAGGGTCATTGTTGACGTTGTCGCACTCGCCGGAATGAAGGCTATTGTCGCTGAGCTCGTCATCACCAACACCACCATCATCGTCGTCACGAACTTCACCACTGCGATTTCTTTCAAACTCTGCAACATTCATGATTTTGTCGGCAAAATCAATGTCCTCACCACCACCGTCAGCATCATGACCACGAACATTGACACCATCTTCTTCATCACCACCGCCCACTTCTGCCATCATCATCACCGTCACCATCGCATATTCCTTGGAACTTGACCGGCCGCACGACACGTCTCCGGAATCCGTCTTCTTCCAAAGGGGCCCCCTTGGCTCGTTCCCCCCGGCGGAGGAGACTGCAGCGAGCCGCCAAGAGCCAAACTGACACCTCCCTCCACCACGGGAGCCCCTTTCAAGGCGCCCCACTCTGTTGCGTGCCCGTACACTCGAGTCGCAAAGCTGTGGTCCGCCGTCAAATCCCCTTGTTCCAGGCTCTCAACCACGGGCGACAGAGGCTTTGGAGAGTCCACCCAGAATCGAACCGCCCTGGGAAACGCGCCGTAGCGAGAGTTCTACAAACACCGGGTCATGGCGTTGTTGTTGTTGCTCGCGGAAAGTAATTTGAAAGTTCGTTAATTAAATCACAAAAAAGACTGGCCTCTTTCGCACGGACTTAAGTCAATGCTTGTGAATCCAAAATGTAATGTAATACGCATGAACGGTCGTGATTAAGCTATACTCCTGAAGTATGGGGCATATAATAGTCTGTGCTAATAACAAGTTTTGTTTTTTATCTTGTTTTTGAATCCCGAAACATTTTTGATCGGAGATTGAATTGGGTTAGCTACATTTCACCAGGGTCAACCTGAAGCGCTGCATTAATTTAAACCCCGTGCTGAATACTTGAAAAAAATACATTGTGCCACTGAAGCCGACGTGAAGCAGGCTAAGCCCTCATATATGTAGATTTGATTAACATTCGTGATTGTACCGTCTCAGATTCTCAAACCCCACCCATTGATCTTCTCCAGTCAAAATTGTACTTAATTTGTAACAGAGCACTTTAATTCACATTGATTCCACTGCACATGAATCAAGTGTTGTGACTCGTATCTGCAACAACTGGACAAAAATCGAGGCAGGTGAGCTCATTAAACCTCAATGAGTAATTAAATACGTTATTGAAGATTAGAAAATACTCTAATTAGAGCAACGTTGACAAGCACTGATGCCCAACACACACCTGTTATCCCAGAGCTTGAGCAGGTGTGTTGCCAATCAGACAGCGTTAGTTGCTTAGCATGTCACAAGTGCGGAACAATTTGAATTGGGAGTAAATTAATAAAAGTGGACTTTGGGAAACCTGTAATGTAACGCAAGGTGTCCTCCATGCCAGGATGGAATTCTTGCTAGAGTGGATTCTGGCGTTTAATGCTTAGTGAAACCTAACGCATACAGTGGGCTGTGTGTGATGTTACGCTTCTAATGCAGGCAAGCAATAGCTCTGTTAATTAGCACCAAGGAAAGCTATTTGAGCAACAAATGCAGTTAAATTTTGATTTAAAGCTTTCGTGACTATGCAGGGATTCATATTCTTGGTTCTTTCGGTAAAGTCAGGTAGAAGGGAAACAATAAAATAATAAAATAATAAATATATAAAACAATAAAATTCTCACGACGTTTCGACTGCAATACAAGCAATCATCATCAAATTTTCTTGTTGTGGTTTTCACACCTGATGATGATTGCTTGTGTTGCAGTGGAAACGTCGTGAGAATTTTATTGTTTTATATTTTTATTATTTTATTGTTTCCCTTCTACGTGACTTTACCGAAAGAACTAAGAATAAAAATGCAGTTGTGTGGCGTCGGTGTAGTCGGGAGTCTGTGACGTCATGTGACACTCGTCATAAGGTGTCTTATTGCAACGTCACTGCAGTCCGGCGCGTGACGTCACGTGACACTCCTCATAAAGTGTCGTATTGTAAAGTCACTGCAGTCCGGCGTGTGACGTCACATCCTACTGGCTCTTCGGATTTCTTGGGAAGCAGAGGTGTCTTCACTTGCCCTCTGGCGTTCTCGTGATAAAACATTTTGGAAAGTTTCGGTGCTCTGGCACATTGGTGGCATGGCCACCATGAAGAAAGGTGTAAAAAAAATATTCAGAATTTTTTTCAAAAAGCTATGCTGCTGTTGCCGTAGCAGTTCTGATGATGAGGACACCTATGCTGGGACTTCGCTGGGCAGTCCTGCTATGGTTCGCAAGGGCAGCCCTCTTTCGAGTCTGGTGGGCAGCCGTTCCAGTGAGAGCGTTTTTCAGAGCTGCAACACCAGTTTAACGTCAACGAGTCAGGAGGCATCAATCGATGGACACAAGGAAAATGATCTGACTAAGGTAAGGGGCAGTAAGAGCTGCTGCAGAGAGGGAGATGACTCACAGCGGGTGACTGAGCACATCTAACCGAGTCTGTGCTAATAACTAGAAACATTCAATAATTCGTTTTTATTTGGAGAACGAAACATTACAGTAAAGAGGTTCATTTGGTTTATCTATATATGGACAGTTTACGCCTGAAGCACTACAACCGAGTGTGACGCTAAAGCCGACATAAAGCAGGCTCACGTTGTTGAAAGCTTCAACAACAGTTTGAGGCAGAAAGTGATGAGACATCATTATCATCTGATGGACAGAAGTCAGATTCGTTGAATCAGATCAAAAAAGATGCAGTCCTCTTTCGAGTCTTTTGAAAGCTGCAACACCAGTTTAAAGTCGTGATTCATGTTGAACTTCTTTCGCACCGCACCTAGGCAAACGTGCTGATCGGAGATGCGGGGAAGGACGGTGAGGAGACATCATCATCTGATGAAAGCAATGCAGATCATCTGACTAAGGTAAGGGAGGCTGTAGGAGCAGCAAAGAGGGAGGATAAATCATAGCGGGTGACTGGGTACATCTAACAGAGTCTGCTAATAACTAGAAACATTCAATAACAATTTATTTGTTATTTGGAGAACGACAAATATCAGTTCAGAGGTTGATTTGGTTTACCTATATATGGACAGGGTAAGCCTGAAGCACGCCATTAATTATTAACTCGTTCTAACTACCTAAAAAACTACGTTGAGCCAAGTGATAATCTTCCCACAGAGTGTGACGCTAAATGCAACATAAAGCAGGCTCACGTTATAGGAATAGGTTTTACCCTTTTAACTGGCACAAAAACTGACACCTTTATTCAAGGCATCATGTTTGCAATAAGAGACATCATCATCTGATGAAAGCAATGCAGATCATATGACTAAGGTAAGGGAGGCTGTAGGAGCAGCAAAGAGGGAGGATAAATCACAGCGGGTGACTGGGTACATCTACCGGAGTCTGTGCTAATAACTAGAAACATTCAATAACAATTTATTTTTTAGTTGGAGAACGAAAAATATCAGTTCAGAGGTTGATTTGGTTTACCTATATATGGACAGGGAAATCCTGAAGAACTACATTAATTTAAAACTCGTACTAACTACCTAAAAAACCTACGTTGAGCCAAGTTATATAATCTTCCCACCACAACACCGTCGCACAGGCACACGAGCGCTCTACACCACCGAAAACAGTCGCTTGGGCACGCGCCCGACGAACAGCACACCCGTCAACAGCCGCGTAGGCACGCGCACGCTAAGCGCTCCGCCCCGGTGTAAACAACCGTGCGTGCGCGCGACCACCAAGCACTCTTCACTCTCGTACCCGCCGCAAACAGCGGCGTATGCGCACGAGCGCAAAACAGTACTGTACACACTCGTACCGGTGTGCGAACACCAAACACTCCGTCTCCCTCCTCGCACTCACAGTGACCACGACACAGCTTCAACCTTTCTAGATTTAACCTCTATGGGGAGGGCTTTCACCTATCTGTTAGAGCTTTTAACAGACAACGGGACAAGAAGTCACAGCTCATCGAGACGCTGACCTTCTTCAAACGATGCCGCGATCACAAGGTAATACCCATCGCTTTCACACTCACTTCTGCTGCTGTATCTTCTCCGAATTCTAAACAGATTCTGCTTAAGGCCAGCCTATCTTTAATCTCAGAGAGGCTAAGGCTACTCCAATTTGAACTCGATACTTTAGACAGGACTCTCCTACAAGCTCATTTAATGTTAACACAAAAAAATGTCACCTTCTGATTGGAATCACGTAGACAACATGACTGCTTCTTCTGCTGAGTCACTGTCAGTCAAATGTAAAGCTAACCTGATTTCTAAATTCAACCACCTATCAAAGAAGAACCCAGTTCCACATATAACAAAACTAGATGTTAACAAAATCGTCATTAATCAGAGTAGCACCCCGATTTCGGACAATCTGAAAACAGTACTGACTAGGGGACTAAATTTTGCTGTCACCCCAAAACACATACCAGTAGATGATTTGGTTTACCTATCTCTGGACAGGGTACGCCTGAAGCACTACATTAATTTAAAAGTCGTACTAACTACCTAAAAAACTACGTTGAGCCAAGTTATATAATCTTCCAACAGAGTGTGACGCTAAAGCCGACATAAAGCAGGCTCACGTTGTTGAAAGCTTCAACAACAGTTTGAGTCAGAAAGTGAGGATAAAAAAGGCAGCCCCCTTTCGAGTCTTTTGAAAGCTGCAACACCAGTTTAAAGTCGTGATGCATGTTGAACTTCTTTTGCACCGTACCTAGGCAAACGTGCTGCTCGGAGGTGCGGGGAAGGACGGTGAGGAGACATCATCATCTGAAGAAAGCAATGCAGATCATCTGACTAAGGTAAGGGAGGCTGTAGGAGCAGCAAAGAGGGAGGATAGATCACAGTAGGTGATTAGGTAAAATTCAATTATCACGTATGCTTTCGCGACCAAAATCATCCATAATACCGTTTTGTCCTTTCTTTTTTTCTTTTGGGTTAGATTACTGGCGAAACGTCGTACTCAGATTGTAAATGTTGTGGCTTGGCTCTCCAACACACCGGTGTGCTGTACTCGTAACGAAATGGCACGTTCTGTTTAAGTGATAAACCTTACTAATTGGCTGTGTCGGATGGTGGGCGGTTTAACGAAACATTTATATATTTACACGATCTAACAAGAATAAAACCTGTAGTATAGATCAGTATTGATAAAATTAAGGTAAAAAATTATTTAAGTTTACGTTGCAAAACTTGCTAAGAAGACCAGTCCATACGTAAAGGTGCAGCCTTTAAATTGTTTGATCATACGATTGCTCGCGGTTGGGTTTGCACGAGAGGAAACTGACCTTCTACACCCACCAAACATCTTGGAAAATGTGGGAGCACCCACACCTGACCCCACAACACACATGGCTTGTCCATCGACTACCTGTGGTGTCCCTATTAATACTGCTGGGTGAATAAAGGTGGGAAGGATGTATTTCTACTGACATGCCAGGAAATTGAAGCACCAAATTCCGTACGACAACACCAGATTGCTAACCGTTGCATGAATAGCACATTAAGCCATTTGAGTATTTAAAATATGCATGATTTCCAATTTCACGCACTGCAAGAATGGGGAGGGCGTATGAAGGGATGTATACCCGTTTGGGAATGTGTGTCCATATGGGTCTGTATTTGCGCTCAAGTGATATCACATGCATCTTTTTAACGTAACGTCTTCAGAATATCACTAAGGAGAATTTAGACATGGAGTATGTTTTTGTCCAACTTCTTTGGAAACAAGGATAGATCCTAGGTATCTAAAAGCAGAGTCTCCATTATTAGATTGCCTTGCCATGTTGTTCGAAATAAGAATCCGCACTTCGCAGTTTGAGCAATGCTGCAGTGTAGTGGCGATGCGTGTCTGTGACTTAAGGCTGCTTTTACTGCTGCCGTAGGAGGAGGAGGAGGCCAAGAGTATTCAACGGGCAGAAGGGGACACCATCTCCAGCATCGTCGTCAAGGATGAGGCATCCACATCACCCCCGGCGGTGTCAGCAGCAGATGACAAGGGGCTGGAGATCCAACACAGCACCGTTCCATCCGCCGTGTCTTTCGTGACCGAGTCCAGCACGACTGGGCTGCACAAACCTAATGCGGGAGGTAAGTGTTTGCTGGCGTGACCCTGTCCCTCTGATTAGTATGGATGGCTACGCACGGTGTGAAAGAAGTTCAACGTGCACACATACGTACACTTTGATATCTCGTCACGCTGCTGTGGTTGTCTAGCCATTGCTGTCGATGTAAAACTTTCAGGCTGAAGATGCTCTTCAGGCAGTTCTGATTACTAGTGCTGAACACTTCAAAAACATTTAATACATTTGCATTTCGCCAGCTGGTGAAGAGGATTGTGTCTACCTAACAGCACCACAAAAAAAAATGCCAGCACGGGTACAGGCAAAGGCACCCAATTTTTCAACCATTCCCTTCAGCAGTGCTGAGTTATAATAAAAGTGCTGTGAGCGTCAATGATGTGTTTCCATCATGTCATGTGTGCAGATGAGGACAGCATTCCATCTTTAGAATTCATAACACCTGCGACAGACAACTTAGTTCTCAAGTGGCAGGAGGATCTACATGAGGGTGCTGGGCTCAACAACCTCGGGAATACGTGTTTCGTGAATGCCAGCCTGCAGGGCCTCACGTACACGGCGCCGCTGGCAAACTTTTTGCTTTACAGCGATCACTCATGGACCTGTGAGTTCTCCCAGATATTTTGCATTCGAGACGAGCTACAATCGAGTGTTGTGTAGATTACCTGGCTGTGCGCAGCTGGGCAATTTGTGTGATTGGTTTGTATTTTCACTGTGTCACCCCTGCCCCACTTCACAGGCAAACAGACTGAGTTTTGCATGATGTGTCTGTTGGAGAAACACGTCTTCAACACCTTCATGAATCGGGGCATGGCCATCGATCCCATCGACATAGTTCTCAATTTCAAAAGTAAGTTCCAGCACAATTCCCAAGTGTCTTTGACGTTGAAACATCGGTCATCTCAAGATCTCCTGAAAGGGCAGTTTGAATCAGTTTTGTATACAATATCGAACAGAAAATTACTCGTTTTGGTCAGCACTGATTTTACAACTCCAATGCATCGGATGTTCTTCCGGTCTTGCATTACTCTCTTGATGCTCGTTCTAAACACTGCCAGCCACACCCAGTTCTGTGATTAACCCACAAATCTTCCGATTTAGCTGATGAGGGACTTCATAAGCTATATACTAACTGTGCCAGCAACTGTGTGACCACATCATCTGTGACCTCTGTCCATTTCCACACAGACATCGGCGAGGACCTGTGTTTTGGCAGGCAGGAAGATGCGCATGTCTTTCTGAGTTACGTGATAGATACGCTGCACCAATCCTGCCTCTTCAACCAAAGCCAGTAAGTACTGCATGCCCCAGCAAACTCCATAAATAGTTGCACAATACCAGCACATGGATGCCTGGATTGTTCAGAAAAAAATATTTGTTCTCAGGATAACCAGGCTACAGTCTACATTATAGACTGCCAATACGCTCACCAAGCTTAAAAACCAGGCTACAGTCTACATTATAGACTGCCAGTACGCTCACTCCGATTAAGAACCAGTCTACATTAGTGTTTTTTTTGTTTTTTATTTTAATTTTATATTTTATTATTCATATTTGTATTCACTTTATTTTAATTATTATTTAACAAATACACTAAATGCATGTTTCTAAATGTGGAGGGAAAAATCGGTGGGCTCGAATAAAAAAAATACACACAACCACAGGGAGTAAATGCAAACTGCAAATTTACAGGCGTCAGCATTGGGATCAAACCCATGACCTGTATAGCTGGCGAGGTAGTTAAGATATTGCCACTTCAGCGAGTTAATACTAGGAGGGAAAAACATGTAACTCTCCCGAGTGTTCATCTGGTAAAGATATTGCCTCTGGAGTTGCTGTCTGTGGTTCATTGCGTGTTTTTCCAGGCTGAATATTGACATGGAGACCCCAACATTGATCCACCAGATCTTCAGGGGGTACCTGAAATCGAGAGGTAGGTACCTGTGCTCCTTTTGGAAACATCCACCCTTTAAGTAGTGATTTCACCCAATGTCACAATCCATACTGGGCTATGCAAGCTCTCGCATGCGACCTTATATTCCCTGTAGATGTAAAAAAAACACGTACACAAGGACATAAGCACACATGCACAAAATATGCATTCCCTTTCCCGTTTCTCTTTCATTGTTTACAAGTTATATCATTCACTCTACTCCCATTCCCGAGGAGTTCTCTAGGTTAAAAGGGATTGCATCAACAATACGAATATCTTTTGATTTAAAGATTTCGTGACTGCAGGGATTCATATTCTTGGTTCTTTATGTAAAGTCACCACGTAGAAGGGAAATAATAAAATAATAAAAATATAAAACAATTTGCGAACATCATTAACTGGATTGTGCTAATACTTATTTCTTTGACCACGCTGCGACGAGGCTACCCAACATGCAATCTGCCAGCAACATTTTAAACTTTAACATTGAATACAAATTAGTTTATGTCATCATACTTGTGTAGAGTATTTCGATGAGGTCCTCAGGGTAAAAAGGGGCGGAGCCATCGTGCGCGTGGCAGTGAGCGGTGTTTTGTAGTTGCCGGTATTTCATCATTAATAGAAAGTTGTATAATTATCAGACCATCCCGATCATCATTGACTACACAAGTGAGTAAAGATGCCGAATACGAAAATAGATTTCACATGTTTATTACGCAAGAGTTAATCAAAGCTTTCTGTACGCCAAATGTAATTTCTCATCAGGCCACGTGGTGTACAGTGCAGTATCCAACTCGTAGCCCACCCTATGTTTCTGGCTTCTGTGCTATGAATAAAGATCACTCCTGAAAATGTCACCAATTGCATATTTTTCCTTGTAAGGCAGTACTATTGACGAATGTTAGGGCACCACTGCCAACACAGTATCAACAATAAATGTATTTAGTAGCCATTGCAGCTTTCACCAAATATGTTTTAAAATAACAATTATAGTCGCATCTGGGTTGGTGGTATTTGAACATTTTCATGATATTAGGCAGTTAACGTGTGAATACTTTTGATTATGATTATGCAATGTGCAGCAGTAATATTGTATGTTTTCATATTATGTGTTTTCACAGTTGAGTGCATGCAGTGCTTCAGCATCTCAGACACGTTGGACTCTTGCCTTGACATCTCTCTTAATATCAACGTAAGAATTGGGAAGGCTGCAGCCTGATGTCGATTTTTTTTGTCATTCATTATATTTATGTACCACAACCAGTTGACTGCAGAGAGCCACTTAGCTCATTATTTTCTGAATTTCTATTCAAAGTAATAATTTTCCATGATTGTGCTTTCTTGGCTTTTGACAGAAATCCCTGGATCTGGTGAAGGCTTTTTATGAATTCACAAAGACCGAGAATCTTGCAGAGTACAGATGTGGAATGTGAGTATGCAATCTTCCGTCGTGCACCTTTAAACGTTCGTGTATATCCCCATTTATACAGTGTGTGATCAAACACGCACCTCGTCCGTAAACTAACGTTGCTATTGTCTGGCGAACAGGTGCTCACGCGTGGGGAAATCAACAAAGAGAGTGAGCCTGCACGTGGTGCCCAATGTGCTTATCGTCACCATTAAGCGATACGATGAGTTTGGGCACAAAATCGACAGGGTGAATTTTACTTCCTGCACAGAATGCAAACTGATATTCAGATATATTTTGTATTCAACGTTTTTTGTCATTTGGACGTATTGGCGGTACACCGGTGCAGCATGACACACCGGTCCTCATAAAACAGTAGAACATCAAAATGTGAACCGACACTCATCTTCCGACTGCTTTGAGATCACGATAAATTATTTTGACGCAGCCCCACAAAATTTCCTGAAATGGGTTGCGAATCGCTGGAAAATATATCATCGTGAAAATTGTGATTTTAGTTTTTTATATATACGGTGCACCAGTGTACCGCCAATACGTTAATTTGCTCCCCTCTTCTGCCCCTGCTTAGCCAGCTCCCTATTTTCCTCTCTTTTAATGCTTGGCCCATCACTGTCTCCTCCCTCATCCCTTGTAGGAGTTCCTCTTCCCTGAAAAACTCGACATACGGCCGTTCATGTCCAGTCAGGTTGTGCAAGAGTCGCAACTTTATTCACTCTACTCGGTGATTGTGCACCACGGGACCACCACCAATAGCGGCCACTACTACTCGTACAACAAGGTGATGTTCTGCATGATAAACAAAAAAACAAATATCCCCCATATAGCCTTACCCGACTGTTGGGGCAAGTGCTGTTCATGAGCACCTGTCAAAGCCAGAATGACACACGCGGGGGTGGGTGGCCAGCACTACACCCGGCCGCCTTTGTCCCCTGAGTGGTAATTTTTACATATTGCACCATGTGTTTATTTGAGGCTGAGTGGACCGAGGGAACGAGGCCCACGACCAGTTGAGATAATCGTCACTGGTGTTACGTCGTAAGCGGGAATTGACCTCTGGTTGCCGGGTTCGTAGTGCAATGTGCTAACCGCTACGCTACTGTTTCCCACTATGATAATACATACACACACACACGAAGCATATGAGTACACGTGTTAACTTCCATATAATATTCCACTTTCATGATCTGTCACTATGGCTGGCTTTTAAATGAGTCAGGTGCAATTGGGTAATGATCGTAATTAAGTGTACATGTATTTTTTCCTTCAGGTCAGCAATGGCAGCTGGTTCAGAATGGACGATGCTGACGTGGAGCCAGTCGCCAAGTCAGAAGTGCTTCAAGACCAGGCCTACATCCTCTTCTATATGCGGTAAGTTGTACTCATGATGTATTTTCACAAACCATAAAACCTCAAACTGGAGAATTTACCCTAAGTCAAACAGTGTTGTCTGACAGTGTTGTACGCACTCTTACTCGGCCCACAATTATATTTTGAAGGTGGTTACCACGTGAGTTATCAGCCATTTTCGGTGCAATTCATTTCTCTAGGTAGTTTCAATGACAGGCAGTTTTCTGTGGTGTCCTGTTGGCCAGTGGAATAATTGTGGTGGTGATGATGTGTGCTATGTGTAGGTCACCAGAGTAGAATGCCATCCCAGTGGACATCGAGGACTCTCAGTCTTCAAACTGGGTGGCATCAAGGACACAAAGAGAGCTCCCAAGTGCTCGGACTACACAAAGAAGGACACTCAAGGAAGAAAGAAGACGAGCCGGAGACACACTGCATACACACACGCGCACCTTAGCAGACACATTGGAGACTTAGAGATTTAGACTGATATCAGATGCTCCCTCCTTACAGGCAATCCCCGGGTTACGGAAGCGTTAGGTTCCCGAGGAAGATCCGCAACCTGAATTTTCCGTATGTCGGAAACTCAACAATTTCCCCCAAATCTAGATAAAATCCCATAGCCGGAAATAGTTGTGCCTCCCGTACTGTTTTCTTTAATTACTGTAGTTTCATCCCTATAATCCGGGGACTGCCTGTAGTTAGTTTTCAATCCTAACCCACCTAGTGAGCGATAATGGTCTAGGTTTCTCAGAAGGAAGGACATTAATAAACATCTGATATGATGGGATAACTTTTACAAACATTTGTTTAGATTATTTAGATTATTTTGCTGTAATAAATTTCTATAAGATAAACCAGTTTATTAAGCTATCATTTGTTGCCAGGTTGCTTCTGAATGAGAGGCTCATAGCTCAGTAGGCTTTACCTGGTAGGACAAAAAATAGTTTAGTATTATTTGTATATATTTGCTATACTTTTCACTGTCAAGTTTTTGTGTTACGTGTTGTATTATTCTCACCTGCCCCGACTGGACATCTGTGAAAAAGAGGTTTACAGCTCATCGGATTCCTGCTGTATAAATAAATATTCTGATAAGCGTTAACGGAAAGTTTTGTTTGTGCCAACATAGTCTACCATGTGGCTGTTTTTCTTGCACCGAAATAAATTATCTGAAGCTACATGTTGTGTGTACTCGGTGTTTGTGTAGATGTGATAGTTTTAAAGATGGTATGCTAGGATTTTAAGTCTTGCCGGTAGGTTGTCTATGTATTGGTGCCATGTCATTGCGCTTGAGCGCTTCCAACAGCACTGCCTCCATCAAATCCAGGGGATCAAGTGCAAGTGTCCTCCATGCTGACACCACCAGCATTGAAGCAATACTTCTAAAAAAACAACTCTGATGGACTGGCCACTGCTTCCGCGTACCTGAGAACTGCCTTCCCCACCAGATCCTTTTCTCCCAGCTCTCTAATGGGCAGCGGACGAGGGGAGGACAAAGGAAGCAGTTCAAGGACACCCTCAAGTCCTCCCTGAAGTACAGAAACATCAGGCTTCGAGATTCGACGGAGTAGGCTGCCGCCCACCTTGGGTGGCGCTGCTGCATCCACCAGGCGACGGCCCACTGAGACCCAACGTCTTGATGCCGAATCGCTGCCAAATAACAAAGGAAAAGGAAGCTAACCCAGCATTGTGGATACATTTCAAAGCAAATTCTTAAATGTTGTTTGTATTATTGACGTACATATGAAGTCACAATTCAATGGCAATATCATATTATTAGAGTATGTTTTGTTTGCATTCTGACCACAAGCATTGTGGTTAATGCAGACATGATTCCTTGTAAAAGGTTTCAGTTTGGTGTTTTAACATCTTAACACCTGTTTTGTTGCCAGAAAAAAGGGGAAAAACCTATTGTCTTATCAATGGCAATACATACGTGTTCATTGTTGAAATGTGATAATCCGCGCGATGCGATCCATTGCATGGCATAAAACTCCAATTTATTTATTGTAATATGCTTGTGACTTTGCGTAACTTAAGAACCCATGTGCACGTGTTGGCTCCCCCACACTTGTTGCACTCCAGTCCACGGTGTTGTTGCCCACTCCAATATGATGCATAGAAATACGAGTGTATTTAGATGCCTCATAGATAAAACATTTAAAATGTTATGAAAAAGGCTGCATGGCAAAGTTAACAAAAAATGTTGATTCTTCAAGGTGTCCAACAAGGGGTTCATTCTAAAGATGTCCACCAAACAGGTGTTTACCTAGTCACACTTCAGTCCTACATCGCATCCACCCGAGCAGCAAATATCTGAACGTGGAGCAGAACGGCCTGGTCGATGGCAGTTTTCGTGGCTCCTGGGTTGTCCCGGATGAAATTCACGATGCCCTGCAGGCACTCAGCCTAGGGAGAGGAATACAAATGGGGTTACAGGGATGGGTTGAAGGGATGAGTACAAATGAGAGACAAGAGGAAGCGGAATGGACAAGATCAATCTGGTGTAAAGTTGCTGGGCTGCGATCATCCTATCAGGTAAGATAATAAGGCCATCAATCAGGAAGTATTTCAGAAATTACGATCAGTAATCTTAACTATTATGCACGCTTAAATTACAGGCATGCAAAGTGGACCACAAAGAAGTGTGCTCCGTAGGTGACTTCCCGGTATACATGGACAAGCACCTTGTATTTGTCGATCTCAGCCTTGCCCGTCACGCGGTTGTACAGCTCGTACGCGACCCTGCCGGCTGTGATTGCTTGGTATGCGTCACTTGTGGTCTCCTTGCCGGACAACCAGCTCAGCAACCCCATCTGCTCTCATGTGTTGGATAGTGGTGGTAAATTTGAAGGAGAGTCAAAAGTTATTGGAGATGTTGGGCAGCTCGCCGAGATTCTGGGTTAGATTTAACATAGCTTTGATTAAACTGGATTCTCAAGTGAAGCGGGTTTATGGTTTCAGCCCTGCTACCAATGATTGCACAAACAAGCATTACATTACATTTGGTTCTGCACTTAATTTGGTTTAATTCCAACTTCATCAAAAGGAATAAAAATGTTGGTTTAACCATCATAGGACAGGTTACTCTCAGGAGTGAGAAAATGCTGCCCCTGAATGTGTGGCCTAAAGGTCACTTGAAATAATTTCAGAGGTTGCTCTGTTATATCTGCTTCTGTGAGCCATTCTCTAAAACAAATGGTTGCAATGCTTTGAGATAACCATGTATTAATCTTATAACGTGACATCATTAGCACAACTGGGATAAAAATGGGGAAAAGACCAAAAATATGAATAAAAGTAATGTTAATTAAGGACAAAGTCAGTCCCTTTAAGTAAATAATTGGCATGTAATAATGATTGATTCATTGACTTTAATAAATTAATGGGTGTGAGAATCGATTATATCTACGATTCATGAAAGTAATATGCCGTTACAAATTCCGTTACAAATTCTACATAAGTAGATTGAGGGCTGTAAATATACATTTTTACAATGAAATATGTACTGGACTATTGTGTTCCTGAAAGCCATCTTAAATATAGACATCATTGCTTATATGTGTAATGTTATTGTAAATGTGTGTATATACCAGGAGTGGGGAACCTATAGCCCGTGGGCCAAATCTCATCTACGACTTCACATCACACAATCCATGAACCCATGAGGCCTATCACGTCAAAGCGGCCCACAAATGTTATATATCCATTACTTCAAGTATCTGAGCTGCACTATTCTATTCTTGCGTATGGCAATGTTGAGGAGCTAAATGCCAACAGAGGTCTGCTACCCACGGGAGCACTTCAGGAGAGAGCTCGTGTAGTTTTGCTATCCCTCCTCCATTGAAGGAGCGAAAATGGCAGTGGTTTACTTTATGGCCCATAGTTTGTGTATCATGGCAATGACCGCACGCACTCATTCATGATAGAGATATGCTCATTGGCCAGTTGATACAGTATTCTGATGTGGTTGATGGTTACCCGAGTATCTTCGTGTCAAAGCTAGGTGTGCAAATGTATGTTTATTCTGGTCGTCTGCAATGTTCCACACTGTTTACCGGCGTTCTTGGCATGCAAGGGCCTCTTGAAGTAACATATGTGACTGTTAATGTGCAGGTTGCTCTTGAAAGACTTCAAATTCCTATTCTGCCCTCATTAAGGAAAATATTCCATCCACACCGATGGTGTGCAGCAAGGCCGTAGCCATGGAGTCAACATTGGGGGGGACCAAATCTTCCAGGGTGTCTGGGGGTCCCAACCCCAAAAAATATCTAAATTTGAAAACTAATTTCCTGCCTAAAATATTAAAAAATTCACTGACACATGGGATGGACTTTTTTATTTTTTACAATAATGTCTAATAGAGTATTGTATTACATTTCTGTTTTTTTACTTTTTTACCATTTCTTGTTTCATTGTATGTAATGACAGAGATTAGGGATTAATAAAGTACAACCACAACCATATAAACAGGAATCTAAGCATTGATTTATATGAATACAAGTCCAGATATTGTGGCCAAGGTTTAGCAAATTGTTGTTTTTATTTACATAGCATAGCAATTTTTTATAGCAATATATTGGGGGACATTTTGAGCATATTTGAATATTGGGGATGTGCCCCCCCCAATATATATTATAATTACGGCCTTGGTGTACAGAACCAACCCAATGGCAGTGCATCAGTACCTGCTGGAGGAGCTCAGCGTTGGACAGACCCCAGGAGGCATCGAAAACCTTGTCCATTCTTCCACAGTTCTACCAGGCCCACACAGTACGTACTTTGGTTGAATACAGATGCATCTTTTCATCGACTAATATCATACAAAGGCTCACAATACATGCAGCGAATCGAGTAAACATGAAAATGTTCAATGTATGTGAAATCTAAATAGGGCAACCATATCCAAACATTACTTAGGCTTATGGAGTAAGCAGGTGTACAAATGGAGACGTACCAAAAGCAAGCAACAATAGAAACGAGATGGTAAAAACGACAGAGACTTTTATGAATGAATTTTTCGGATCACCGTGGTGGTTAGGTAAATCATTACGCTCTCAGTACATAGTGCTGGTGACGACATTCGACTAAGTCAACTCCAAATGTTTTGCACAGTTTAGTCCACAGCCCAAGGTGTCATGCCACAGGTTAAGTTTGCACTCTACAGTAAAACGTTACATTGTACACAGCCGAGTTCACAGCTTTAAAGCAGCCATACACAAGCAATTCTAACAACGTATGATGACCCGCACGTATCTCCAATTGACAACGTACAAGTTCGAGACATTATTTAACTTAAGAAAAAACAGTGGGCATGGGGGTACAACACGTCGCGAGAAGGGTTGACGGCAGGTGGTGAGGACTAAGTGAGGAAACCTACTCAAGAAGGCATCCACCAGACTGATTGATAACATCGACGACGAAGCTGAAGCTAGACGGATATTTGCATCGAATGACTATGACAGATGTTGTTGTCATGGAAGCCTTCGTTCAGTAGTCATGTCCCAGGGTCCCGCATAATGTATTCCTCAGCTTCTAATTTCCCACGAGCCCTCAATTTCGAATTCCCTACACACTGATGGGTTCACGTCTCCAGGAGCTGCAGTTAAATCCACAGTCTCATGTTCTTTGGTATTGCACAAACGTAAGTTCCATACTCTTGATGGGTAACCTATGTCCATAGCCGTGGTCGTGTCTCTCAATCCCATGTGTCCACAGGCGTTCAAGTGCCACAGGTGAGTCAAACAGCCCTGATACGCTGAACCTCTTTTGCGCCGTACGTAGCCAACCGTGCTAAATCGGAGGTGTATAATGGCTATCGCTGCAGGCCTTAGCTTGCCGGGCACAGTCCAAATACAAAAGAAGAGCTACACACAGCTACAGTAGCCTAGAAGCGCTTGACGACAGCAGCAGAACCCTCATACAGTACAGCAATATACAGCTGCAACTCTTTCAGACACTACACCGATTAAAACGGGTCCCACGGCGCCAATGCAGCCACGCAGCGACAAACAGCGCCTCGCTCGTCTAACCAGTCACTTCACTGGACATCTGTGAAAACTTGCTTTGTAGCTCATACGATCCATCCAGTATAAATATTCTGACTGTGATAATGAAGCCAATCGCTGACAAAGAGTACCTCACTTGTACGACGGCCATTCACCGATACGGCCACTCCCCTCCTACAGTACAGGTACCTCGCTGAATATGATGGCAGCGAGCTACGTAGCGCCTGATAGCTACACCTCTACATCTCCTCGTTGCCAGCTAAGCACAGCTTTCGTCAATGGTGCAGCGACAATCGTACGTCTTAACCTCTTTTGCGGCAGGCAGCTGAGGTCACAGCAGAGCGGACGGGGCAGTCTTCTTGCCGGGGCCTGGTTGGAAGGGGGATCGATCCTAACAGAATCGTTGACAGAGAAATCGATTCTCGATGACGTCTACGTCAAGGCGTTCATAATCGATTTCAGTTTTTAATTATTAAATGGAGTCGATTTGAAATATTGAAAAGTACTGTACGCGATTATTTTTGTTGTAATAATTACAGATTTTTAAATTGGCAGTCGTTATACATTCCCCTTGTTCGTTATCGATTGAGGTATTAAATGTCACTTGTTACGAATCCTAGGCCCCGTTGAATGCATATAACTGTGCGTTGAACTTAAATACCTTATTATATCTTATTACAGACCAATTAAGATCTCATTGGTCACCCCGTCCCGTTATAAATCTCAACGTTCATCCTACAAAGTCCCATCACAAGGGAGAAACACAAACAGTACATTTTGTTGACCGTATTGAAATGGCTGTACGCCGTATGGACCAGAAAACTAAATTTTTCCCCGTACAAGAATACGGCTAAACCGTGTGGGTTCACACGGATCAACTTAAATTTCGATTTGAAGCTTTCGTGACTGCAGGGATTCATATTCTTGGTTCTTTCGGTAAAGTCACCACGTAGAAGGGAAATAATAACATAATACAAATTAAACAATAAAATTCTCACGACGTTTCGATTGCAACACAAATAATCATCATCAGGTGTGATGATGATTATTATACTGGTAGGGACCTCCTGGTTACACCACCAGCCCACAGGGGATTATTGTGTCCGTCCGTCCGTCGTGCATCCAAAAATGGGAGGGGTGGGGCTGGGTGGAGAGGGGCTGGGTGGGGAGGGGCTGGGTGGGGAGGGGATGGTCACCCCGTGGTGCCCTTATAAAACTCAACTTTTAACCTACTCACGCCGGCTTGTGCCCGCACTCACAGTCGGGCATATTTGCGGAATACACCACGTGGTGCCGCCGTTGACCCTGGCCATTGACCGAGCAACCCAACGTCCCTACCAGCTCCCTCCGCAGGAATGTGTTTATTTCCCTTCTACGTGACTTTACCGAAAGAACCAAGAATATGGATCAACTTCTTTCGCGCCGCACGTAGCCAAGCGCCCTGATCAAGAGGTGCGAAATTCCTTTCGTCCACCGTGCGAGAGACGTTGAAGGCCAAACTGGTGAACTCATCGTCTCTGTCAACCCGTACGGTTTACGACCGTATTCTTGTACACTCCCCTCAATGACAGCCTCATTGCTACCCGTTAACTCCACCCAGTGACAGCCTCATTGCTACCCGTTAACTCCACCCAGTGACAGCCTCATTGCTACCCGATAACTCCACCCAGTGACAGCCTCATGGCTGCCCGTTAACTCCACCCAGTGACAGCCTCATGGCTGCCCATTAACTCCACCCAGTGACAGCCTCATGGCTGCCCATTAACTCCACCCAGTGACAGCCTCATGGCTGCCCGTTAACTCCCCCCAGTGACAGCCTCATGGCTGCCCGTTAACTCCATCCAGTGACAGCCTCATGGCTGCCCATTAACTCCACCCAGTGACAGCCTCATGGCTACCCATTAACTCCCCCCAGTGACAGCGTCATGGCTGCCCGTTAACTCCCCTCAGTGACAGCCTCATAGCTGCCCATTAACTCCCCTCAGTGACAGCCTCATGGCTGCCCATTAACTCCACCCAGTGACAGCCTCATGGCTGCCCATTAACTCCCCTCAGTGACAGACTCATAGCTGCCCATTAACTCCACCCAGTGACAGCCTCATGGCTGCCCGTTAACTCCCCCCAGTGACAGCCTCATGGCTGCCCATTAACGCCACCCAGTGACAGCCTCATGGCTGCCCATTAACTCCACCCAGTGGCAGCCTCATGGCTGGCCGTTAACTCCCCCAGTGACAGCCTCATGGCTGCCTGTTAACTCCCCTCAGTGACAGCCTCATGGCTGCCCATTAACTCCACCCAGTGACAGCCTCATGGCTGCCCGTTAACTCCACCCAGTGACAGCCTCATGGCTGCCCATTAACTCCCCTCAGTGACAGCCTCATGGCTGCCCATTAACTCCCATCAGTGACAGCCTCACTGCTACCCGATAACTCCACCCAGTGACAGCCTCATGGCTGCCCGTTAACTCCACCCAGTGACAGCCTCATGGCTGCCCGTTAACTCCACCCAGTGACAGCCTCATGGCTGCCCATTAACTCCACTCAGTGACAGCCTCATGGCTGCCCTTTAACTCCCCCCAGTGACAGCCTCATGGCTGCCCGTTAACTCCACCCAGTGACAGCCTCATGGCTGCCCATTAACTCCACCCAGTGACAGCCTCATGGCTGCCCATTAACTCCACCCAGTGACAGTCTCATGGCTGCCCATTAACTCCACCCAGTAACAGCCTCATGGCTGCCCGTTAACTCCACCCAGTGACAGCCTCATGGCTGCCCATTAACTCCACCCAGTGACAGCCTCATGGCTGCCCGTTAACTCCCCCCAGTGACAGCCTCATGGCTGCCCGTTAACTCCATCCAGTGACAGCCTCATGGCTGCCCATTAACTCCACCCAGTGACAGCATCATGGCTACCCATTAACTCCCCCCAGTGACAGCCTCAGGGCTGCCCGTTAACTCCCCTCAGTGACAGCCTCATAGCTGCCCATTAACTCCCCTCAGTGACAGCCTCATGGCTGCCCATTAACTCCACCCAGTGACAGCCTCATGGCTGCCCATTAACTCCCCTCAGTGACAGACTCATAGCTGCCCATTAACTCCCCTCAGTGACAGCCTCATGGCTGCCCGTTAACTCCACCCAGTGACAGCCTCATGGCTGCCCGTTAACTCCCCCCAGTGACAGCGTCATGGCTGCCCATTAACTCCACCCAGTGACAGCCTCATGGCTGCCCATTAACTCCACCCAGTGGCAGCCTCATGGCTGCCGGTTAACTCCCACAGTGACAGCCTCATGGCTGCCCGTTAACTCCCCTCAGTGACAGCCTCATGGCTGCCCATTAACTCCACCCAGTGACAGCCTCATGGCTGCCCGTTAACTCCACCCATTGACAGCCTCATGGCTGCCCATTAACTCCCCTCAGTGACAGCCTCATGGCTGCCCATTAACTCCACCCAGTGACAGCCTCATGGCTGCCCGTTAACTCCCCTAAGTGACAGCCTCATGGCTGCCCGTTAACGCCACCCAGTGACAGCCTCATGGCTGCCCGTTAACTCCCCCAGTGACAGCCTCATGGCTGCCCGTTAACTCCCCTCAGTGACAGCCTCATGGCTGCCCATTAACTCCACCCAGTGACAGCCTCATGGCTGCCCGTTAACTCCACCCAGTGACAGCCTCATGGCTGCCCATTAACTCCCCTCAGTGACAGCCTCATGGCTGCCCATTAACTCCACCCAGTGACAGCCTCATGGCTGCCCGTTAACTCCACCCAGTGACAGTGTCATGGCTGCCCATTAACTCCCCTAAGTGACAGCCTCATGGCTGCCCGTTAACGCCACCCAGTGACAGCCTCATGGCTGCCCATTAACTCAACCCAGTGACAGCCTCATGGCTGCCCATTAACTTCCCTCAGTGACAGACTCATAGCTGCCCATTAACTCCCCTCAGTGACAGCCTCATGGCTGCCCGTTAACTCCAACCAGTGATAGCCTCATGGCTGCCCGTTAACTCCCCCCAGTGACAGCGTCATGGCTGCCCATTAACTCCACCCAGTGACAGCCTCATGGCTGCCCATTAACTCCACCCAGTGGCAGCCTCATGGCTGCCCGTTAACTCCCCCAGTGACAGCCTCATGGCTGCCCGTTAACTCCCCTCAGTGAAAGCCTCATGGCTGCCCATTAACTCCACCCAGTGACAGCCTCATGGCTGCCTGTTAACTCCACCCAGTGACAGCCTCATGGCTGCCCATTAACTCCCCTCAGTGACAGCCTCATGGCTGCCCATTAACTCCACCCAGTGACAGGCTCATGCCTGCCCATTAACTCCACCCAGTGACAGCCTCATGGCTGCCCGTTAACTCCACCCAGTGACAGCCTCATGGCTGCCCATTAACTCCCCTAAGTGACAGCCTCATGGCTGCCCGTTAACGCCACCCAGTGACAGCCTCATGGCTGCCCGTTAACTCCCCCAGTGACAGCCTCATGGCTGCCCGTTAATTCCCCTCAGTGACAGCCTCATGGCTGCCCATTAACTCCACCCAGTGACAGCCTCATGGCTGCCCGTTAACTCCACCCAGTGACAGCCTCATGGCTGCCCATTAACTCCCCTCAGTGACAGCCTCATGGCTGCCCATTAACTCCACCCAGTGACAGCCTCATGGCTGCCCGTTAACTCCACCCAGTGACAGCCTCATGGCTGCCCATTAACTCCCCTAATTGACAGCCTCATGGCTGCCCGTTAATGCCACCCAGTGACAGCCTCATGGCTGCCCATTAACTCAACCCAGTGACAGCCTCATGGCTGCCCATTAACTCCCCTAAGTGACAGCCTCATGGCTGCCCGTTAACTCCACCCAGTGACAGCCTCATGGCTGCCCATTAACTCCCCTCAGTGACAGCCTCATGGCTGCCCATTAACTCCACCCAGTGACAGCCTCATGGCTGCCCATTAACTCCCCTAAGTGACAGCCTCATGGCTGCCCGTTAACTCCACCCAGTGACAGCCTCATGGCTGCCCATTAACTCCATCCAGTGACAGCCTCATGGCTGCCCATTTACTCCAACCAGTAACAGCCTCATGGCTGCCCATTAACTCCCATAAGTGACAGCCTCATGGCTGCCCGTTAACGCCACCCAGTGACAGCCTCATGGCTGCCCATTAACTCCACCCAGTGACAGCCTCATGGCTGCCCGTTAACCCCATCCAGTGACAGCCTCATGGCTGCCCATTAACTCCACCCAGTGACAGCCTCATGGCTGCCTGTTAACTCCCCCCAGTGACAGCCTCATGGCTGCCCGTTAACTCCATCCAGTGACAGCCTCATGGCTGCCCATTAACTCCACCCAGTGACAGCATCATGGCTACCCATTAACTCCCCCCAGTGACAGCCTCATGGCTGCCCGTTAACTCCCCTCAGTGACAGCCTCATAGCTGCCCATTAACTCCCCTCAGTGACAGCCTC